CAAATGTTGCCGGGTGCCCCACCTACGTGCTTCATAGTAAAGGAAAACAAGCGTTTTCCTTTTCCAGAATCCAATCCCTGAGTAATCCCTGCTTGTGTGTCCCCTGAAAGGGCTCTCGGCTTGAACGATTCTTCAGCCTTTGTCTTTCATGACTAAGCATTTTTGAAGTCCGCAGACCAGTTCGTTGTTTTATAGAATGCCCCTCAATTTAAGTTTGTGTGATGTTCCCTCACCATTATAGGTTATTCGTTTTTTTGGCAGGAATACCACAAAAGCCACGTTTGTTACCTTTCAGTACTCCTATCACAACCATTGAAACGGTCTGCTTGAGGTGGTGTCTAGCTGCTCTATTTTTCTCCTTTGTAATTCATTTAGGTAACCTGTGGGGACAGCGACTGATTAACTTAGTAAATAGAACAAACTCTGATTTGTTTACTAACGGCATTATGCGGAGTCAAATGAAAGTAGGGGTCTTGGGACAGGGCGGATGGGATATACATTTGTGTGTAGCAAATTATAATCCTTCCCTTACATATATAAACGCTTCTCATCCACTTGTAGATAAACCCAGATGCGGAGGTGGGGGTGGCGAGAGAGGAAGGGGGTCAAGCCGCATCCTGAAATCTGCTAGTTTTCCGTCCCTTACATCCTAGTTTCTCTCAGGCCAGAGCCCTGCACTTTCATTATATATGAAATTTGTGATAGTATTTCATTATAAAAAGGAACATTCTCATAGAAAATGTCTGGAAAACAGTGTAGAAAGGAAATGCACGTTACCATCTAAAGTCTACTGGTGGCATTTGGTGTATACTAAGTTTTATTTATTTATTTTTAAAGATTTTATTTATTATTTGAGAGAGAACACAAGCGGGGGGAGGGGCAGAGGGAGAGGCAGACTCCCTGCTGAGCAGGGAGCAAGAGGCGGGACTCGATCCCAGAACCTCAGGATCATGACCTGAGCCGAAGGCAGATGCTTAACCGACTGAGCCACCCAGGCACCCCTGGTGTATACTAAGTTTTAAATCTGATTTTGCAGGTTAACACGGAAACCTCAGCATTACTTTTGACAGTCCTTCATGAGAAAATTCCAAGTCTCAGAGGAGCCGAACGTATTTTTGGAACTTCAGGGGCTTACAAATCAGGATTATTAATATGTGCTGTGTACATTTGTGTTCTGTGTATGTACATGGCACTGCTGGGGGTTGTGCACTGCACAACTTCTGCAGGTGTATGTATGGCCTTGACTGTGGTACGTAGTCATTGGCGTGGGGCTGGCCACTTGAGAAGTGTTTGGGGGACCCTGGAGGTACACACAGTCATACGAAGGTTCACAGCAACATTTCAGAAAGAAACTAGTTAAGGGCGCCTGGGTGGCTCAGTCGGTTGAGCGACTGCCTTCGGCTCAGGTCATGATCCCGGGGTCTTGGGATCAAGCCCCACATCGGGCTCCCTGCTCAGCGGGGAGCCTGCTTCTCTCTCTCTCTCCCTCTGTCTCTGGCCCCCACTGTACCCGCTCTCTCTCTCAGATAAATAAATAAAATCTTAAAAAACAAACACAAAACCACTAAGGACAGAAATAAGTGATTGTAAACGAAATAAGAGTCATAAAGGCGGTTGCCCCAAGCACCAGCTAGGGACTGAGCTGTTCCCACACTGGCGATTGGTGGGTGACCTGGCAGTGATCATTACTCCAGTGCATCAGCCCGTGTCCTACAGATACAGAGTCTTCTCCCTCTGCACCCCCCTGCCTCCAACTCCTGCTCGTTGGACGCGGGCCTCCCTTCCCTACCCGCATGCCCAGGGCTCCTCACCCCATGGGCCTCAGCACCACCCCGACCGAGGATCTGGCGGCAATCTGCGCAGCCGGGCACCGTGGGGCCCCCAGGGGGCGCTATGCACAGCTCAGGAACCTCAGACACTTGGGTTTACTTAGAAAATCCGTGGCGCTTGAAAGCAAAATGTCTTGCAAGTCGGATGTCTAATTCACACAAATATAGGCCAGAGGTGGCCTTGTTCCAACGAATCCATCATCTCTGGGGGCCCTATTCTTGGTAGAGGGCCCCCTTGCCACCACACTGACCCGCATGCTCCTGAACTCTGCCTCCAGCCGGCTCTAGGACATAGTCCGCAAGGGGCTTTGCGCAGTACATGCAAGAATTAAATCCCTCTCCTCCGGGATAATGAGCCCTGAATGTGAGCCCTGAGTGAGAGCATCTCAGCGTCACGTGGCTTCTTGCAGGGACTTTGTATACACTTAAATAATGGGAATGGGTCTGTTTTCTCCTGTACAGCGAACAGTTCATTGTAGAGATCAAGGGGCATCAAACACTCTTGGGAAAGGGGCACACAGTAAATATTTTAGGCTCCGTGGGCCTCCTCAGTTCTGCTGAGCAGTGCAAAATCAAACAGCCATGAGTGAGCATCACTGGGCTCCAATGAAATTTAAATTCCATGTGCTTTTCATGTGTGATGAAATACTATTCTTTTGATCCCCTCCCCCGCCCACCATTTAAAGGTGTAGAAACTATTTTTAGCTTCAAAGACAGGGGGAGCAGGCTGGATTTGCTGAATGGCTTGCAGTTTGCCCTGTTGTAAATGATTTATAAGGTTGCTTCTGACTCATTTTATGGTTAGGTACTTAGCTTGACTAGAAACTGAAGTCCCAAGTTAGTGTAAGTATGAATTCCATTGACTAGCCCTTCATTTTACAAAGTAGATCTAGGTGCTTTGGGGGGGCAGATATTTAGAAAAGGAGAATCTTCCTCAGCTAATTCCTGTCCTTCACCCCCTGGATCATAGGCCAGCCCCACACCTCCTTGGGGTGTTTACCGAGTTAGGGTGGTGAAGCGGGTTTGGTGTTATTGGTGCCCTCTCCCCTCTAACGCAATAATGTTGGCCAGCCTGGCCCCAGGCAGGCCCCTGGGAGCATTGCTGGCTCCGGGCTTGGCCTCGAGTTTGTCACGGACTTCAGCCACTGCCTTCAACTAAGAAGGGCCTTTCTGGGCCTGGACCACAGTGAACTCCTGCTGCAAGCCACTGGACCGATTCTGCCCTGAAGCCAGTTCAGTCTTATCAGAATCTGGTCCCCGGACAGCTGGAACTAACTCCCTTCTACACAGGGGGACACGTAGGTGGCTTACTTTCTAGCAGAACTGATCTGCCCCCCTCTCTTTTGGGCTCAAACTCTTAGCCTGCTTTCTGCTGCACACATGCATGTCCTCCTACCCTACCTTCACCCCACGGCCCCAAAGAGGAAGCTCTTCTCTCTTAAATCCCCTAAAGGATCCGAGGTATGGGTTCATAGTCTCCACCTACTAGCTCTTCCTCCAAACCGGTCCCGACGACAGTGTGCACCGAATAGATAAAGTGGATCTCTCCCAGGAGGACTTGCATGGAGTGGGGGCTGTGGGTGGGGTCCTTTTATCTCTTATCACTCTGGACAGCCAAGCACACAGTGCTTGCTTAGAAGGTCAGCCCCGGGCGCCTGGGTGGCTCAGTTGGTTGAGCGACTGCCTTCGGCTCAGGTCATGATCCTGGAGTCCCGGGATCGAGTCCCGCATCGGGCTCCCTGCTCAGTGGGGGGGTCTGCTTCTCCCTCTGACCCTCTTCCCTCTCGTGCTCTCTGTCTCTCATTCTCTCTCTCTCTCAAATAAATAAATAAAATCTTAAAAAAAAAAAAAAGAAGGTCAGCCCCAGGGCCAATTCCTCCCCAGTAGCACAGGCCCCAAATGAGACACAGGTGGTCCCATCAGAGAGTGCTAGAAGCTTCTTATTCCTACAGTCACTGCCTTCTCTTCCCAGTTTGGCTGCCAGAGGGGCTTCTTTGTAAAGCAGACCCTGAGTGATACTGCAAGTATATCACTTGGGTGTGTGTGTGGGGGGGGGAGGGTACACATGGCTATGCGTCCATTTCCTAAATGCTAAGAGTCATAGAAATGGATTTTTAATCCAAAGGCTTTGAACCAAAGAATCTGTCAATACTTACACGATCATACCCGGTGGGTATCATCACCGTTGACGGTTAGCCAATTCTCTTTACTGCCTACAAACCCCTGTCTTGGTCAATACATGAGTCATCACTGGTGACGTGCTCATGCAGCTTCTGAAAATGCCCTTTAGACCTTCCTAAGGAATCGAGGGACGCACGGAGACAGTTCTCACTGAGTGACCATGAGGTCTTGGGAGCTCTACCAGGGGTTTCTTTTTTTGTTTGTTTGTTTAAGATTTTTTACTTATTCATTTGACAGAGAGAGACATAGCGAGAGCAGGG